TTGCACTTCGCTGCTTGTGTCTGATTTCTCTTTTTTCTTTTCTCTGGACATCTTTTTGTGGCTTGACTCTGTAGAATGAGACTGCTTGTTGAGCTCTTTCAGCTTTTCTTTTAGCTCCTGAATTTCGGACTGAAAATCATGTTGCTGACAGCCTTTAGAGTCTGTTTCACTTGCTACTTGCACTGCATGCACATGCAGTCTCTGTGCTGGTTTTTTGAGTTTTTTTCTTGCAGCTTCACGCTCCTCTTCTTCTCAAATTTCTTTGAGTAGGCTTAAAAATGTCGGGGGATCATTTCGCTTATCTCTTAGACCTAGCTGAAGCAGCATGAAGTCTGATTCAGTGGCACCTTTAATGAGTTGCTCAAGTCTTGCTCTGTTGGCTTCATCTACCTGTAGGCCTCCTTTTTGCACTACTTTGTTCAGTAATCTTTCCAGTCTCAGCAAGAAGTTAGACAAGCACTCACCTTGTCTTTGATGCATAGCTCTGAATGTGAGATACAATTCCTCACCGGATTCTGAGGTTCCAAAGGTACTTTCCAATGCCTGTAAGTAATCCATATAGTTTGCCATGGGATTAGACATGTGCACTGCTTGAATGATCTCCAGCGCTGGCCCTTTGAGACTCTCAATAATCCTTCTGCGTTTCTCCTTATCTGAGCACTCATACTCATCAGTCATGAACTTTACTTGTTCTAACCAGCTGTCTAAATTGTCTTCACCAGGTGGAGTAGGGTGGACTCCAGAGAAGATTCTAAAACGACGGTATGACTGGCTTTCATTTGGCTTGGACTGCAAAACATCACCTACCGCCCGAATGATTGACTCAGGGTTGCTGTTCCATGAGGTGCTAGGATCACATAGTCTTTTAACATCCTCCAATGTTTTCCCTTCATCATGTAGAAATCTGTCCAACTTCTCTGTGAATAGGTCAGAGTTTGTTTCTTGTTCCGCAACAACTATTTTCCATTTACCTCCTTCTCTAAAGGAAATCACCTCTGGTGGAACTTTGGTAGGATCGACTTCTTGACGGCATTCACATAACATGGTCAGGGTTTGATTATTGGCATTAAACATTTTTCCTCTTACTCTTACCTTGCCCAAGGTTTTTACTTGTTCGAGTGTTTCTTCTACTGTGGATATTTCTTCCTCTTCAGACACTCCAAGAACTAGGATGGCATGTGCCTGATCAAGCCCTTCACCTCTGCACCAATTTGCAAGATTTGGTTGTGAAACATAACTTTTAGTGGCCATAGTTTTAACAACTTACTTTGTAGGGGGAAAACAAGAAATAAATTAAAATTACTTTTTAGGACCAGTGTGACTCTTAGTCACTTTAAGGTTACAGCAGATTTAGTGGTAACTTAAAAGTTATATAATACAACAAAACAATCCCAGCGGTGCCTCCAATGTGTAACACCCAACTCAAGTAGCTCTGGTTAACCCTCGGTTAAGATGGTGATAGTACTCTGAGCGGGGCCCTGGGTACGTTACTTATTTTATGGGTAAACAGGAGAAACGATAGCTAACCAGTTTTAACCTTTGTACTTAGAAATCTTAATGTTGGCGGTGCCTCCACTTAGTGAAAATAAGGAGTTCTGTTTAATCTTCACTAAGAATAATGAATTTATCTAACATGCTAAACCTCTCTTTTACCTTTTTAATAACCCTTATCACTTATAAACTCTGCAAATCATAAATATGACACAACACAAAACTTTAAATTCAAAATGAAAGATTTAGTCAAACCAAAGTATGATTTAAAAAAAAAAAAAAAATATTCCAAGTTCTGAAGTGTTTCCTTACAATTCAATTGAATGGTTTTTCCCTCTTCACAATTCACAGTCAATGTTTAGAAACAACACATTTATCCAAGATATTCCCCTTTCAAGTTCAGTTCAAATTTGTAACCTTTTAGAGCTCCTTTACTGAAACCGTTCAGTAAAGGCCTGATCGTTGCTCGGGCTCGTTGGGCCAGAAAAAAACACACAAATGGCCGCTTCGCTTGATAAACAAGCAGAAAACAAAACGCACGTGCTCGTGGCTACTCACAAATCCTTTGGGCTAAGTGCGAGGACAAGCTGAGGGGCAGGCTCGGTTTGTGACCATGCGGCCTCCACTCGGCAACGTGGTCGGAATTAGCGGCATACATGGGCCGCTGAGCACACTGGGACAAACCCACGGAAATCCTATCCACAGCAGAAGGGTCCAGAGAATTCCTCTCGGTCCACTGTGCATTAGAGATTACTATTTAGTTCCATAGAGTAATCTGTAGCTTACATACTCAGCATACATAGCTAATACAGACTCTAAAATGCTAACATGCTAACTCGCGATTAACATCATACATTTTAAGTACTTATACATCCCGTTTAAGCTCAATGCTAACTCCACATTCAGTACTCACTCATCACAGGGCAAAACAGTCCATAACAGGAACGTAGACTCTGCATCCACGGCTATTGTTTTGACTATTCTCCCGTTAGCTCTGGTACACAACCTCCTCCGGTAACGTGCTGCTGCCGACTCTCACTAGCTTAGTTTTTCTTTTCTTCGCCTCACTTAGATCCCGCCTCCCTTACGTCTGATTGGACAATAGGTTTACATCAACCAATGGGATAAGAACAAATACAAGATTGACAACCCAAAATGAGCTTGTAAAACAACTTGAAGCAAATACAAAGTTTTCCTTGTTTTACATTAGATAACACACCTTTGGGTTTCTTGTAACTTTAACTCCATGAACACTTAAATTATAATCGACTTCTATTTATTGTGATTTTAAACACGTTTTAAATGCATTTGAACTCTTGTTTTGTTTTTTAAACCATATGAAATATTTACAATAAAGTTTTTACATGACAATATATCCTTTTAACCTGTAGTGTCTAAAATAGATATTTGAGACCAGGCTTCATATATGTGGAAGGAAACCGTGACCAAGGGCAAGCTGATGGCATAAGATGTAAGTACAACTCCTCCGGTTTCATATGCAAAAAAAATTATTGCGCTAGCAGTTCTACAAGGATTTAAAAGTAGTTGCACAAAACGGAGCGTGCCTGCTCTGACTGGTTTTAAAGGGTTAAACAGTTTTAGATCCATGACACTCACAGTCTTATGTTAAAATCTCAAAGGACAGCATTATATTTTTGATATTAACAGTAACTCTGGGCCTCTGTAGAGTGTGCAGATGATCTCATCGCTGTCTAAAAATGGATAAAAAAAAAACATAAGAAGTGCTGAATCCTTCAATAACACAGACTATTAGAGTAGCAGGTGTGTAGCATCGCTAACTAGCTAGCAACAAGCCTCCAACACAGTGCGTATGCTAGCGGCTAATTATTTTAGAACTATAAGATGATAAACTGTGCGTCTTTTTTTTTATAACAGTGACATGGTTGTATTTACCTTAATTAAATGAGTCGTCAGTCGTGGTAAACCAGCAAAAAAACTCGAGCAGCCGGGCTACGTAAAAAGTGTAGGGGGGCGTGTTTGCAGTCACATCCAGCGGGTGTATGGGCGGGAGCGTTACACAGTCGCTCCACCTCAAGTCACTACTCCAAATTTGCAAAATGGCAGCCTCCATCTGAGTCTGAGACCTGACATTTTTTGTGTGAGTCTGAGACCTGACATTTTTTCGTCTGAGACTGAGACCTGAACACTTTTTTCCTGACACCTGACGATGTCCTAAAATGTACACCGTACTCAGGACTACAGCTTACTTTCCCTGTCATTTGCTAACTCTCAGTCTCAATCCTTCCTGAACTCTGTGCAAAACTTTTCCTTCTTCAACTTTCAACATTTAATCCATGCCTCTACATTCACTCACGTCCTCTTCTTGGTGTCCAAAACTATCCTACAGACTACAATCTGACTACCTTCTGGTTACTTCCTCCCTGACATCATCTTGCAGTCTTCTATCTCTTCTGCATAAAATGTAATCCACCTGTGTTCATCTTGCACCACTCTTGTTACCCTGTTTTCTTCCCTCTTATGTGCTCACTACAGCAATCTCTGTTTTGCAAAGTCCACTACCTCTATCCTATGTTTCTCTCCTTCTTATCATATTTACCTAAAACTTCTTTGTCACTGCTGTTCCCTTCATCTACATGTCAATTGAAGTCTGCTCAAATCACCACCCTCTTCCCCCTTGAGGACACTCTACCTCTTTCCCCAACTTACTCCAGAACTCTCTCTTATGACTAGCATCCATAGCACCTTGTGGCGATTGTTGTTGTCATTTGGGGCCATGAAATCTGCTGGTTCTTTTGCATATAGCTAGTCTGATTGGAAGGAATGTTTTAACACTTTTGAAGGAGCCAGTCCAGAAGTTTCCCCCTACTTCCAGTCTTTCTGGAGTCTAAGCTAAGTTGATTCTGATTCTTTTAATTAGACTCAGAAACAAGGCGACTTCCTAAAATCCTTTCAAACTATTTTAACCTCATGTAAAGTTGACAGCTGTAATCAAAAAAATTACAAAAATAAAATCCCCTCTCCAATTTACCAATCACAACTAAGGCTGTGGTCCCTTTCAGTGCTAAGAACAAGTGATTTGGCAACTTGACACCCTCTGAAAGGATTTTTTTCTGCATTTCTGTTTCTTTTTTTGTAAAAATGACACTGCCTTTGTTTGTGTTTCTGACCTCAGACCAGCCGTTAAAGCTATCTGCTGCGGCCAGGTTTCCTGCCTCTAGCTTTGTCTCTTCTTGCCATTAATAGTTATTTCTGCAACAGTGTGGCATCACTCCAATCTTTTGAGCGGGCCAACTTGCTGTTTCCAAACATATCTAATTCTGAGTCACGCTTAATCGAGGTTCTGATGTTTCTTTGTTCCTTTTTCTTCAGAACAGAAATTCATTTGTTTACATCCCTTCCCTCCAGAGGCAGAGAAGAAGACGGCAGATGTCGCCATGTTGGTTCTGGTTCTTTCTGATCAGCCACCAGCAACACCACAACACCCATCCATCATAGCGAGCTGGCTGCTGTTGACTTCAGCACAGGAACGCAAAACCTACAAACACAAGTCTTCACATGTTTTGCGTGTAATATCAGGAGAATCAAGTATTTAAGTGCATAGTGGTGCAAGTATATGGCTCTACACACACGCGCACACATACACAGACAACCGACCAAAGGGAGTAAATGGGCTGTAGTTACCATAGAAACAGTTGAGTCCCACAACATCCATTCCAGAGAGCCTTCGGAAAAAAAACAAAAAAAACAGTTTTATTTTTTCAGATGTGTATGTATGTGTTTCAACGTAAAGACATACACATACACACACACACACAGGGCGTGTGAATGCATGCGTGCATGTTAGAGTGTGTGTGTGTCTGTGTGAATGTGAGTGTGCAGTGGATCCCCCTCTGTGATCACAAAGAGCAGCCCTCATCCCTGAGAATCCCATTTCACGGCTAGGTTTAGTGATGCTTGTGTATTATGGTGTGTGTCCGTGTGTGTATGTGTGTTGATGTGTGGTGGGGACAGAGAGCTTGAGGCTGGGTTCGCAGGGGATTACTGGGCCACTGCTCATACAGGTTGGGATTATTTCAAATAAGATGTGAAATTCCTTCAACACACCACCAATTTGAAGATATGAGTGTGAAACATGTGATGTATCCACTCACTTTTTTTCTCAGGACAGATTTACTCGTTGAACGAGTCCAACAGCTGAACCATCT